ACACACACACACACACACACACACACACACATTTCCCATCACTAATGCAAGTTTGAGATATGGTTACAGCAGGTTAAGCAATACAGCCAATATTCTTCCTCCCAGCCACATTCTTCAGGATTGGAAAAGTAATTCCTCCAGAGTGTTCTTGATTTGCCCTGGATCTAAAGTGCCCTAAATTCTGTCAACACCTGGAGGCATCACAAGCAAAGCAAAGGAGGAGTATTGAGGAAGCAGCAGTTTCCCTGAACTCCTCCCACATATAAACTGATTTCAACATCATATATTTTCAGATTTGATTCAAAGCTTGTGACCTTCTTGCTGAACCTGAAAAACTGCCTCCTCTGCGAGCTCTTGGGCTGCTGCCGCCATAGGCAAAGCCGTCTCTGCGGCCACAGCTCCATTGTTTGTTTTCACAGCGATTGGATCTTGGATAGCCTATTCACTCTTTAGTTTTATTAGCGCAAGTGTCCAAACAACTTTACCAACAGACGGCAGCGATTTACATCATATTAGATCTTTGCTCTGGAAGTTGCTCCGATGTCTGTTTGCTCTGTGAAACCAAACTTCAGCAGTGGCTTCAAACTACACTTTTTTTTGTTGCAAGATGCCTCTAAGTTTCTTGTGGTACAAACCATAATAATCTGCAGCTTTATGTTCACAAACACCTCTTTCTACTTCTCCTACAGTTCCTCTGGTTGCTCACATTGCCAGATGTGTCCTGTAGGAACAGAGGCTCTACAGAACGCTGCTAAAGACTGCACACAGTGTCGGCCAGGTAGTGCACACCACGTCAACTTAAAGCTTCAGGGCTGTAGTCATTTCTATGAGAGCCTGACAAGGCTTGTCATTTAAAGCATGAGTGTGTATCCGTCTGTCTTTTGACAGGCATGCACAAGGCTTCCCATCAAACTATGTGTCAGATCTGCGGCAGTGGCTTCTATCAGATCCACTGGGGCCAGGAAAGCTGTGACGTCTGCCCAGAGAATCACTACTGCCCTGTGAGTGCTGCAGCCTCGACATTCTGCACTCTGCAGCCTCTACAATGTGCACCCACCACATACTGCAGTCTCCAAACTCTGCACCCTCCACCCTCTGATCCATCTACATTTGTGTTTGAGAGATGTCCTGCATGTTTGTCCCTCATATCATTTTTTCAGAGTCCAGATGTGAACCCCATTCTGTGTCCCAACGATGCCTTTTGTCCAGCGGGCAGTTTGGCTCCAGGCTACTGCATGGAGACCTTCTTCCGCAAAGCAGGGGATGTTTGTGAGCTGGCTCCTGTCACTATTGCTCTGTTAGTTATTGGAGGTGGAGGTAAGTATCAATGCTGGTACAAGTGCATTTAAATGTGTTTTTCCAGATATATCAGCATTATATCCTGCCTTTGCTAAATGCCATTTTAAGGTATTAGAATTCTAATTATGATTTTCAAACTAATGTGTTTAAACTAAACATATTCTCCACTGCAGGGTCATATATATATGCAAGACTTTTTCTTTCATACTAATGTTATTAGCATTTGTTTGACATTGTACTGACTCTTAACTTCCTTTGTGTAACATTAGCATGCCTATTTTCTGTGGCCCTACAGGGCGAACAACATGTATAACTGACCACCATGGACACAGATCAACATAAAGCCTTTAAACAGCTGAACCATAGAATTTATTAAATTCGAATAACACAATAAGTTTGATCAAAATTCACAAAGAACATCATTCTATTTATTAATTGCAATGCATGTTACAAAAGGCTGTATGTTAACAAGTCAGATTGATGTACATCAGAAACCATCTGCAAACTCTAAACACCAATTTATCTTCGTATGTGGGCCAATGCTGACTGCATTTATATATGGCTCTCAGCACACAAGACTTTAAACCTAGACCTGATGTTAATATGTATCTAATGCATCAATAAACAAGGGACTGCTGCTGGTGGAACAAACCAGTTCACAACACAGAAGGGCCAAGTTATTATTGCTGCTGGATTAATAGTGAGCAGCCGGCACACAAGTAGCCATACAACTGGATGCCACTCCCACCTTACACAATATGGCTAGCACCATGAGGTGGACAAATCACAGAACAAAGGTACTTAATCTACCTCAGCACAACACTTACACAGGTGACCAACACAAATGTTGAGTGCAGCAGCCACAACCCAAAAGGGTCACAAGTAGAACACCTAAAAAGTTGCTGCCATTCACAAACAGCAGAACACGAAGACCCAATAAAGTGAGCTGCCACTACCACAACCCACCTCCACACTCACTGTCATATAAGTAAACCAGCAACATACACCAACTTGATAAATGATGTATTTGTATTTGATGTTTGTCATACATACTGATTTTCTGAGAGAATTGTTTTCTTTTCTATTCAGTCCTTTGGAAAAAATACTTTTCTTGTTGCATACAGGAAACGGATTCTGTTTCTGGCCTTACACTGAGGACACATTGTTCACAAACAAGACATAATCAAACAAAATAAGAATCATGCTCGTGTATCAATGCATTCTTTGTGCGTCTAATAAGCCCGAGTGTAGATGGTCATTCCATGTAACGTTTGTGTTTTTTCCCCCTTTTCCAGTGGCGCTGCTCTTCATCATTTTAATGATTCTGCGTCGACGGAGAGACACTGACGGAGAACTGACTGTTGCTCGAGCTCCACTGTTATGCAAAGAGCGGCCTCAAGGTCGATACTACGGCATCCCCTGTGATGCAGAACCTGTGTATGCTGGCTGGTGACCCAAAGGACCTTAGTGTTTATATAGGAACGTGCTCTGAGGCACAACAAACTGAAGTCGGTTTTTCCATGTTGGTCTCCACTAAAGACAAAGACCAGATAGAGGAAGACTGACGGGGAAATCCCTGGACGGTGCCTGAGTGCTTCGACAACCCACCAGCTTTTTGTATGTTCTACATTTTAATATATTACTGAGAAACAGAAGTTTTGTGAATTCTTGCAGTTTGACACTATTGCAGTGGTTGTCTCTCAGAGATGAACACTTTCCTTTTGTAAAGTAGGTTATTGGATTATAAGAGGTATGCTGGAACGGTGAAAATGACATGCGTGCCTCCACTTGGTGGGAATGTCTCCCTCTTAGGAAAGCACTTTTTTCATGAAGGTAATTGATTTATTTTGCACTCGTGTTGGCGGACTTGCGGGTGCCTCCGTTACTTTGTGTAGTTCCTCAGTGACAACGATATGTAAAAGTGTGGTTGGGGCCTTGTGTGTTTTTTAATGCGTTTGATTTCAGTACGTCATGTGTCTGTATTTTCACTGATATCTTTGCTTAAAATTTTCATCTGCTTTTTTAAGATTATATTTGTATGTTTTAAAAGAAAATAAATAAAAATGATAAAATGGAGTTTAAATTATTGTCATCATTACCTCCACCAAGAAAGTTATGCTTTCACCAGTGTCTGGTGGTTTGTGTTTGTCAGCAGGATTACAAAAAAAACTACTTAACAAATTGCAACAAAACTTGGTGGAGGGACGGGGCCTGGGAAGAAGCCGTTCAATTCTGGTACAGATGCAGATTTTCTTTCTCTGTCTTTAACACTGCAACATGAACATTTTATAATTCCCTGAACTTGATTTTCCACTGTTTAGGATTGGAATTTATGACACATAAATCATTTAGGCTATTAGACCACTTCCTTTTTTCTTTCCTACTATAATAGTCAGGCTACTATGAGTAGAATTGTTCCGCTTTGTGTTCTGATGAGTACCATACTACTTTAAATTGGATTACAAATTAACATAACATCTTTTTTTCCAGCCCTGGTTTCTCCCCATTTTTTCTAGCTTCATTTCTTTGAACTTTTGGTCAGGTTATCACTTAATGCTGAGAATAAATAAGATTTTTCAAAATGTAGTGAAGGCCCTTCTGTATTTTAGTCCCAAAAAAAACAGCCTAATTAATTTTACATGTAGGGTCAGTGTGTGTAGGGAAAACCATCCAGATACACAACATTACTGAACAAACAGTTTTAGCATTTTATTGAATATGAACATTGATTGTCCACAAACTCTGCCTTCACAGGACTTTAGTTAGATATTTTGGATGATATCTTCACAATAGTGAAGCAGGCACTGTGAAATAAATGTGGAAAGTGTGAAAAAGGATATCTTCAGGGTTTTTTTCAGTTTTTGCTGTATAACTCCCACATGCATTACTGTAGCTTCAACATGCAGCAGCATCCATTACTTTGAGTAATAGTTTGATTGCAGCGACCACTGGTTTACACCATACCAAGAAAACCACATGTCTGCCATTGACAACCATGGACCAGAAAGATGGATACAGTTGATAGTTGCACACAAGGCGACCATGCAAGATTGTGAGCTTCAGAGTCACACAGAGTGAACACTGGAGATCATTTATCCCCAGGATGTTTATCTCAGTAGAAGACAGACGGGATGTTTGAGCCACTTATTCTATAAATACATGTATATATTATCAACAAAGATATTATTGATACAATGTGGATATTGCACATTTTACTTATTCAAGTATTTACATAAAAAAGTACTTTCAATATAAAAAGTAAAAGAAAGGATTATCCAGGGTGGACTTTCTTATTGCACTTTTTGAAATGTTATCATTTTTTTTGCTGCTAATGTTTTATCTGGTGAAAGTGAAACTACTTTAATCTGATTACTATGCCATATAATTTAACTATTAACTTTATATCTTTATGAGCTGATATATATTTTTTTTAAATGCTATACATGATCTGAAAGAGTGAGTCAGTCACAGATAAACGCGTGGTCGTTTACAAGAACTGTTTTAGAGCCGTCACGTGATTTCACGACAGTGATCGTAGGTAAACATTGATGAGTGAAAAATGAACAGATGCATTTCCAGGAGCAGTCGTTAGGTGGCGATAACGCGCTGTGTTGAAAGTTTGTCCTTGCAGGATACCGTACTGACGACAACACGCTCACAGGGAAAACATGGCCGCGGCCTTAGCGAGGAGGGTGTCCGGTGTGTATGCACTATTTGACTTTCACACTTCACAACCTCATTTGTGTTCTTTAGTAAAAGTGTAGCGTGTCACGTGTGTTTTGCTGCACCGAGCCACCGGAGCACGGGGCTGTAGTTACTACAGATAGTGTCCAGGGGGAGTCTGAACATTAGCTAACAGTAAGGTCACTGGTGGCTCCATGTTGCTGTGTGTCCTCGCGTGTTTACCTGCTGTTCTTGTGTGTGTCAGTGTTCCTGAGGCCGCTGTCTGCCTCTCTTCGCCCCGGGACACCGCAGCTCCGTCAGCTCTCCAGCCTCATCCACCCTTCGCCGCTGTACAGCTCCGCTGCTGCGGCCGCCGTCCGCGCTCCTCTGCCGGCTGCAGCCTATCAGACACCCCGCTACCACATCCTCCAACGGTAAAGACCCGGAGCAGCACCACTGCACACATCCACCATCACTGTCAGAGAGTTACAGTGTTAGTAAGATCTTTATAGTAAGATCAGCACTCTAAGCTGACAGCACTATCTATCTATATATATCTATATGTATCTATCTATATTGATAGATATCTATATAGTATATCTTACTGTGGCCGAAGCGATTGCCTGTTATGTTCAAAGCAGGGGGAAGTATGATACAGGTATCAACAGACAGGACAATATACAGTAAGTGTTGGATAGATGGTGTTTTGATCTCTTTTAAAAAAAATTAAATCAGTGTGTTTAATACCATACGTGGAAAACAACAGGAATGATAAATAAAACCAGCTTCTACAAAGTAAATGTTGAAATGGTTAAGCTGTAATTACCACCTCTAACCTTGTATAACTGTCTCGGACAGTCACAGTGGGCATCCACTTTTAGGAAAGAGTTCATCAACACATCTGAATAATTGTGAGCTCACTTGAGGTGTAAATTTTAAGTTTTTGCCTCCACCCCAACACCCAGAGATGCAGTGTGTCCTGCAGGAAATATTTGAACGGCATTGATAAGCTATTCAGATTCAATGTGAAAGAGTAGTTCTGCTCTTAACTATTATTTATTAAGGTGTTTTACTTTAGTAATCTTAGCAGAGCCAGAGATGTTTCTATTTTAGGCTTAACTTTGCAGCAAATCTGGAAAACATTTTCTTTACAGAGAAAACACTGATACTCATCCTTTTTTTTTTTTTTCAGTGTAATTGACCCACGTTCTATGTAGGCATTTTAGGTTGTTAGTTATTTTAAATAGCAGTTGTTGTGCTTCTCTGTTTTTGCAGGGTGTCAGCTCTTGTTCCCAGTCTGACTCTGCAGCCAAGCAGAAGTCTGATCTACTATAGTCTGAAGAAGGGGAAGAGAAAAACTGTCAAATCTGTCACACAAAGATTCCTGAGGCTGCACTGTGGACTTTGGATCAGACGCAAGGTGTGCTTTTTTTATTTTTTTACTGTTTTTACTGGTTTGTTAACTGCAATGCAATGACCCATCTGACAGCTTGTTTTTGTTTTAACAGGCTGGATACAAGAAGAAACTGTGGAAGAAGAAACCTGACAGACGAAAGCGCCTGAGGGAGTTTGTCATCTGTAACAAAACACAGAGCAAACTTTTAGATAAAATGACATGTTCTTTTTGGAAGAGGAGGAACTGGTATCTAGATGATCCATACCTGAAATACCAAGACCGGGTAAACCTCAAACCGTAATTTGATATGTGTAGAGGTGTCATGTATTCTGTTCAAATATAATGTACTGATGTAATATACAAAATAAAGTCAAATATTGTTAATGATTTGTGCTTTTGGGTGTTCTTTTAGTAGAAATAAGACACACAGTCAACTTTTACTTGATATTTAATGACTGTAAATTTATTTAAACAGAAATATTGAATCCAGTGGAACAACTGACAGCCATAAACCATCATGTCATCACATTACTGCTTTTAGTTTATATTTAACAATCAAGTTTAAATTGAAGTCATTCGACATTCTGGCCTGCCAGAACAAAAATTCTTAGGATATCTTAGTAAGTGGGGTCTCTTCATCAAAAAGTCAAAGTGGCAAATTCACCAGTAAGTAAGACATATGTTATTTGAATGTATGCATAGCCAACTTAGTCATAACATTTCATGATCCTTCTGTAAAGCAATGACAAAAGATTAATGAGTAATTGTTTACCAGCAATGCATCTGAAGAGGCCAACAGCTTCACACCAAATGAATCATTGATTCAATTTTCCTACAAATTAATAACAAACGTCATGCAATGTTGAGTGTATCCGTCTATGCACAAGTTTACAAATCTGATAAGCAACATGTTTTTTTTCAGTTTTACTTTGCATTATTTGAATGGAAGGAAATCAGCTCCAACACTAACACTTAATAATACTAACGCTGAAACACATCAGTTTTTTCTCCATTAGAAGAACATTTCATGTGCATAACAAGTGTATCTACAACAACAGAGTGAATGACCTGTAAACAGAACAGTTGTACCTGAGAAGCTTTTGTTTCAAACTTCAATCCGCCTCGAATGATACCAACACGATGATGAAAATCAAAAATCGACTGCGTGAACCCACCGGCACAGTGTCACGTCGTGTAAAACGCTGCTATGATTGAGGCTCAGTGAATAAAAGTACAGGGTGAAAACATACGAGGAGTCACCGTGCAACATGAACTCAAAGGTGAGTTTGTAAACCTGCAAACCGACAAACACAGTCTCTCTCTCGTGAGTTTGAAAAAGAGCAGAAGCAGGTCGAAGGTTAAGATCGTCTGGTTTAGTGTTGCTCAGTGGACAGAACATTACACAGTGATTTCAAACATGGAAAAATAAACCATGTTTGTTTACAGTAAATATCGATTTGTTTCTTGTCCGTTTCAGCTACAGCTGAAAGTGACGTGTTCATAATTGGCCTTAAACTGCCAAATCATTTATTTTTAACAGTAGATTGTCAAAAAAAAAAAAAAGGCTGCTCCACTGACAAAAACTCTTGTGGTCGTGACCTTTTTTTCTTTTTTTTATGTGAAACTGGCGTCATTACTTCTTATTTCTTTCACCACAGATGAAATAAACTGTAACTTTTTATATTACTTATAATAATCTGCGACTAATTTACTATGATTATTATGTAACTTTTGGCCATTTCATTGAGTATTTAGGGTAGTAATTTAAATTCTAGACATAGTGCAAACATGATAGTTTAATGAGAATGAATATGTGTTACAAATAGTCACAACATGTGTAGAGACTTTTTATTTATTTTTGCATCTCTACTATCTTTTGATTTAAGGCTTTAATATAGAGGTAAATAACAGAATATTGTCCACCACCGCTGTCTGACTCTTCAATAAGTAAGTTTTATATTTTTTCATTTTAAGGTAATTGGCTGATTTCACAAAATCTTGATAAGATAATTCATCAGTGCAGAATTCAGCTGCTCGCAGATGTTTCTCCAGAACAGATTAAGTTGTTTTTTTTCCTTGGCTTTTAACATATTCTCGAAGAGTGACCGCGTCATTCTCAAAACCAGCTGTAGGATTCAGTGACAGTACATTCTGCTGAACAAACAGTGGACTAATGACTGGGAAGACACTCATGCACTTGCCTACCCAAACCTGATATATAAGAACCATTAAATCAGAAAGATGAGGTACACACAAACTGTACATAAACACATGAAAAAAAAGTGTCTATCAGCATGGAGCCCATTCACTCATTTCTCTTAATTCAACCTCACCTGTTTGATCAGGAGCATCAAGCTATACACTACAGATAGAGGGATCATCATAGGTCACTTTGGTAATACCTTATTCCAAAGCAAGGCTGCTTCAGTCATGTAGCTTTTGGCCATTCAGTATTTTTTTTTTTTTTACTTCTTGCAGCGAAGGCAGCTGGAGTCGTCTTGAGGACAGTTTCACATGGCTTCATTGTTTGAAGAAAGAGCACTCCTGGATCTTGTGAGAGGCCTTAAGACTCTAAGAGGAGGCTGGAAGGGAAGACAGATAAAGATAAGAGCAGAGTCAGATAACAGCTGCAAACAGCCCAACACTTTACCGAGGATACGTCTGACATTATTCTATATTTTTTTCAGCAAATCCCATGAAAAGACCAAAACCAACAATGTGTTCAAACATATCTCAACAATACTTTGTTTAACCTAACTTGGCTGCAGCTCTCAGCCTCAAACCCATTGTTTCCTTCTGAAGATGAGACATTAGAGATTGTAGGAAATATTGATGAAACAGGTGTAAGGAGTACTTTTTGGGGACTATTTTCAGCAGTGAATAAATACACATGCAGGGTGGTGCATCTCAAAAATAGCACGGCACTAAGTAGAACACATTCCTTTGCCAAGGCCCAACAGTCCCCTTGAATTCAGGGGTTTCAAACACTCATAGATATCAATATCAAATCAACTGAATCTGAAAATCAGTGACATATCATAAAATGTCATAAAATCTCCCAATGTTAAAGAAAGTGGATCCGCCCCCAGAATGTAATCGATTCTTTCCTGACGCACACTGTGTCTGTTTTGTAGTTTTTGTGTAATCCTGCTAATAAACAAACTCAGACAAAAACATAACTTCCTTGGCAGAGTTAATAAACTCCAAAGCCCATGTTCATCACAATAAAGGAACACGTCTGCCAACAACAGCAAATGTCTATGGAGGGATGAGCTTCTGAGGATCAGGCCTTAGCTACACAAACAATAAGTAATCACCTCCACCAAGGAGTTAATGTTTTACCAGAGTCTGTGTGTTTGTTCATTTTTTCTGGATTATGCAGAAAACTCATTTGGGGCAGGCGTCTGAGAAGACCTCACTAAATTGGTGCGGATTTTCTTTTCACTTTATGGAAATATTTTCATGACAAATAAATACTTGAGCTTATCAGACCACTTCTTATTGTCTTTATTTTCTTAATTTATATTTCTATTGTGTCTATAGTGTCTAAGAAGTCGACACTCATGACTAGGAGTGTTTGACCTTGGCGAGGTATGTGGTCTTCTGAGTGCCATTGCAATAATTGTTGGTTTTGGTATTTTCATGTGGTTTGACAGAGAGAAAAATATAAAATATTGCTGATTCTTCCTTTTCATTTAATTCACCACACCAAACAAACTGACATTACATGTTGAAATGTATGGATGAATATCAGTTAATTCAGGGGATAGATTCAGCAAAACCATTTCCAACTTTCAAAACAGAAGTTATTACCAGTGGTGAAATACACTGGAAGGGAATCCATGTTGGAATGTTTCCCATGCCACATTTCCAAAAACGTGAGTCGTTAAAATCAGACATGAGCAAGATCACACATTCATTTGCACTAAAGTTAATGCATGATTCAGCTTCATCAATGCAGAAAATCTAATTAGCAGGCAGACTATTTTTACATATGTGCTGAACCATGATGATTTATTTAGCCACACATCCACAGAGATGAGGGAATCAGTGAGTAAATCACCACTCTCAAGGGGCAGTTAGAATCAGGCAGCAGCTGGGCAGCCACAGTGACGAGGCGCGATACCTCAGGAGCCTTCCTCTTAACCAGCCTGAGCTGCGGAGAGCTCAGGCCTGCCTGCACCTCTTTCCCCACCTCCTCTGACTGCTCCGGAACTGGGGGAGTGGGAGATGGAGGGGGCGTGGGAGGTTGAGAGGGCGTGGAGGGCGGGGTGGACTGGGTTGTCAGTGAGAGCGTTACGGGTGTGGACTCAGACTCAGAGGGTGAAATGGTCTGGGACAGCGACTCCTTGGAGTCCCATTGGTCCAACCCCAACACCTCATACTCAGATACGTCAAAATCCTGCCCTGCACCACGAAAACAGAGAAGGTCGATGGAAGGGATGAACATTGAACAACGTGTGAATCCTGTGTCTGACCTACTGAGTCAGAGGCCGTCTGTTTAATTGCTGTAGTGTGGCAACAGATGTGGTCAGTGGGGATTATTATTAGGAAACTTCATATGACAATGCATCATCATTCTGAAGGCCGCAGAGCAGAGGCCAAACAGGAGGTGGTGATAGGCAGAGACCAATTTAAGTGTTAGCGCAAACAAGCATAATAGTGCTGTCCTCATTAAGTCTCTGCTCCTTTTGCAAATGTATGTCTACTTTTATTCTATTAGCTATTTTTTGTTTTTTCCCTATTCTGCCATTTTTTGCAAATAAAGGACTTTATCTCTTGAATGTGACCTGGTGTTATGTTCCTTCTTAAGTGGGGACAGTTCTAATAAGAACCCGATGTATTGATCAATAGAAATCTTTCACAGACATAATGATATCTGCATTTATTGCCGATATGAAAACTTTTATTTTACAGGATAAACAATGCAAACAATGTAAGTTCTACATAGTTTTATATTTGTGTTTTCTTTTTGTTTATAATTATTTATAATATAATGCATGTAAAACTAATGTGTAAAATAGGGATGAATCTGCAGCTGAAAGTAGTTTCAGCAACTTTTACAAAACTTATATATAACTTATATATTTAAAAATTAAACTATACATTTGTTGAGATTAACATCTTCAGTAGGAGGCAAAGAGCTCATTGCAAGGTGAGAGCCACAGGGTGAGATTGTCACTGAGAGATGGACTAAAACATATTCCTATTTGTTGACAATGAGAAAAATATAGACTAATACCAGATTTTTCATTAAATTTGAGGGTTTAAGATGAAGAATGTTGCACAAACTGTCATTTGTGAATATGGGGTACATAAATAAATTGTTTATGAAAATAATTTAATGAAACAAGTCAAATATTCATCAGATATCAACACAAGTTTTCTCAGCAGGATTCCCGGTTAGCCCTGCCTTCAATGTATAGCTATTTCTGTTCAATATTAAAAACTGTGTCTAACTGTGTGTAAGTGTTATTTCTAATTCTATTCACAATAGAGCAATTATGATCTGAAAAATAATATACGACAGTCAGACCCTGAGGAATACAAACATCAACTGTTTCCACATGATGTTGAACGAGGAACAAGCCCCCGCAGCTACATGTGAGTGTTATCACAGGATGCTTAGCCTGGCAGGCCTCTGATGCTGGGCCTACTCCAAACAGGAAGACAGGAGAGAGGGCAGGGGGCTACTCAGGAAAGCAGGGGCACTGAACAATATCTGTGGGGTTAAACAAGCTTGAACAGGAAGACAGAAATCTACATGATAATCTGCGTGACGCAAACCTAGCCGGCCCCTGATATTACACCATAATGGCTATCATAGCTAAAGTGCTGAGAAAACTGGCACCTTAACTCTTTTTGATCAACTTGTTTTATATATTCAACACAGTTTTCATCTTGTTGGATAAAGTCAGTCTTTATTATGCTTTTCACCGTCTCCTCACCCTTGTAGCTCTCCGACTTGCTGCGCATCATAGTTCTGGTCCGATGCTGTGCTGCTGCGGACTGTGTGGTCCCAGGGCCACTGTCGTCGGGGTCCGACTGGTAGGAAGACAGATCCTGCATGCTGAAACTCCTCAGTCTGTCTGATAGGACTCCTTGGCCCTAGGACAGGAAACACCAGGTATTTATTTTAGCATCAATGTGAGATGTTCAGAGCATGGATCATTTTAAGAGCATTAATAATTGAATACTGGCATCAGGCTACTTTGAAACATCACTCAATAGACCTGCTTCGTTGTACGAGAAGCAAACAACATAACAGGCTTGGTACCATTATCTACAAAGACCCTCTACTGTACCCCCCCCCAGGTCACCACACAACAAAATGTCCAGACTCAGCATTACCTTTGATGCAGCCATGACGGCAGCTGTGGCCGCAACGTTTAGCCCCTTTCTCCCATAATGCACCAGTGTGTCATAGCTTTTGTCCTTGGCCTGGCAGATGTAGTCATCGATGTCCTGACACAATGAAACAATCACATGATGAGCACATTTATCTCTCATTGTAATGTGCAATTCATTTCATGCAGAGTCGACCGGGCCTTTCTGAAATCGCTCGACTTGCAAAATCAAATTCTCTGACTTTTGATCCTCACAAAACATGATCGTCTGTTTCCTGACCCGCACGTAGAAGGAAAGAGAGATGGAAGAACACAGTGACACTTTCTCCCCCCCTGTCCAGCAAAGTTTTAACTGCTGAAGTGGAAAAGTGAATTGGCACAAAGGCACATTTGTTCTCTGGACTGTGGAAAAGCATTAAATCAGTCACAAACACCACACAGACTGACTCAAACAGCACAGACTGAATATATTTTCCCTAAAGCTTTCCCTGAAAATGTGACAACAAAGGATGGGACTTCACCTTTTCTTTTGAGGAAAGAGTGGGATGAACAAACTTCCTGTATAGCACGCTAGAGCCTTTAGTGTAAGGGGACAGCAGCCACACCACAAACGCTATCTTCAGCTCATAGTAGAAAGGAAGCCTGGAATGGACACACAGAATGGCAGCAGAACAAAATGATGTTATATGGTTTCTTTATGTTCGTGACACAAGCATGTTATGTGATAAAAACACAGTAGTCGCCACGGTCAAATCCATTAAACATCTGGCGTCACTTACCAACAAACAAACATATCCGTAAATACTTCCACAGTTGTGAATAGGGCAAATATTATCCAGTACATCATCCATTTCACCTATAAAAGGTAAAAGAAATGAGTTAAAACACATTGTAGGATCCTATTTATGGGGACCATGTGGAGGAAAAATATAAGAATTAAAAGTATAAATGATATACTCACATATTCCCTCACATCTTTTGATTTCACAGCTTTGTAAGAGGAGTACGCAGGATATAGTGTACCAAACACAAGTCTGAAAGACAGAGAGTAACAACCATCAACTCCAGAATCAAAGACATTGCATCCGACAGATATTTCAAACGAGCATGAGCATAAAACCGAGACGGATTCAAATACAATCAATTAGGATGTGGACAACATCACTATGGGATATTATGGATATTTAAGAGCAACATGTTTCTCATATTTAGATGCCATATATCGTGGCATTTGTCCCAAATTACAAACTATAAGGAATAACTATCATGAAGAATCTTATGTGACATATACTTTAAAAAAAAGACAAAGATCTGAGCACATATATGTTAACACCAGCCCTGGAGACCGACAAGTTTGATTCCACTCCTGAAGAACACAGACTGTGCTCGATGAGTGAGCTCGGAGAACAAGGTTCATTTTTTTGTTTTACTGTTCTGTTGTGTTAGTGAGGAAATGAGACGTTCTTGTGGGTGAAATGTCCTCCATTTGTCCTGATTTCTTTTGGTTGGATGACTATAATGATAACATTATTTATAAAGCACCTATTAACCAAAAGTACTGCACAACAAGACAAATGATAATGGTACTCATAATAAAATAATAATAAAAGAAGACGCTGTCTCAGACAACCTTATTCCCCAATTCTGAAAGTTTGGAGTTGTGCTTCAGGTGAAGGTGAAGTTTTGTTAAAGCAGATTTTAAGGCAGAATGTTTTTTTGAAATGAAATGAAATGTTTTCGGTGTCTTATAAACCCATTGGGGCTGTGCACGTCTTTGTGCATATATATTGGATTAAGCACAATTATTGAATATATTCAATATCTTTTTCAGTTGGTCAGTGGGTTCATCACTGTCTTTTCTGTATTTGAAACCAGAAATGTAAAATTGTTCAGTAGTTGACTTTGTAAATTTGTCAAACATCAACATACAGTACATGCATGTATGTATTTATGCAGAACAACAGTTTTATGAGTCTTCTTAGCTGCACATGTGATACAACGGACAGGTTGACAGGTGAGATGAAGGTAAATCAGAAAATGAGCTGCAGCTCTTTCCTCCTATAAACCATGAACTCAATCATGCCTTAAGTCAATTTTTTGAAATGGCTGCACATGATGTCCAGGTGACATGAGGTCAGATTTGCCTTCCATGTGTTTTCCTCCCTTTTCTTTACATTTCTATTCCTGTGCAGACACCTGTGCTGCGGGGAGACATGCACCCAAGTGCCACAGTCAGGCAACAGCTGTGAGTTGTGACCTGCTCATGTTACAGAGCCACGTCGTGTTGCAGCACTGAGGCCTGGAGCAGCTAACTGTGCTCTCTCAGAGTTAAGAGACAACAAGGACACTCTGAAATAAATGTCAGGCTCTGCACTACACACCCAAAGGCTTCTCTTGGAGGTTTAAACCTAAACTCAACCTATATGAGCACATTTCACGCAGCCAGAGCAAAGGAGGCCCAATTCAAGTAACAAGATCTTGCAATCTAAATTTAATTACCTCACTATTTTGAGGTTGGGCCTTGCTGTTGGTACACTTCACACGCTCTGCAATGGCGCTGCTGATTCATGCTTTGGGCAGGTACATGTAGATACTGTGACAGATGTGATCCTACCGTTTAATCTCTGGAGCCATGAGGAGACATACCGGGATATATTCGCATGTGTTAATACATGAAGAACTCTTGCTTTGTAACCCGAGAAGGCAAGACCCATCCCTTTTGTTTTTCTTTTCCAATATGGGACATCAACAGAGGATATAGATCCACTCCCAGTACCTGCTCCTGCCGTTTTTACGCTTCTAAGACGCCTCAGATTTTTTTTCTGCAGTGACTCTGTATTATAATGTCATGGATGATAATGAATATGTTCCCCTGCTCACCACGTCAGCTCTTTGTTATCTTCAAAAAGCGGCACTTGATAAACACAAAGAGTCTCAGGCTGCTGAGCGCTGTTTGGAAACAGACAAGCTCCACAGGCCCGGATCAGCATTCCTGCTCAAACAGCCAAGTACAATCCAGTGGAAATCCCACTGATGTCGAGTCAAAAACAAACCTGCTCCCCTCTCACCCTGAACACTGATTCTGCTGGAATAAAACACTGAATTAAGGTGGAGGAGGCTCGTGAAGAGCGCGCAGCTCCATGGAGCGGCTCCAACACCTGCGACGACCAGGGCTGAAATCCATCATTACAGGCAGAACATATGTTGTAGAATCCTCCAAAATATAAGAATAAAAAAAAGACTTACACCACAAGTCTAGAGATGATCCAGGAGACCATTGCGCTGGAGAGGCGACAGGACGCGCTGTCTGCGGGGAGGAGTTTCCTCCAGATGACAGGCGCGTCCAGGCGGATGCGTCCGGACGCAAACAGGAGGCAACGTGATGCAGGATAAACAGTGAGTGAGCGGAGCACGGCTGTTGCCCATAGATGGCAGTGTTGCATTGCACAGACGACACCGACACCCGGCATGAAGATGAGTCTCTCACGCAGAGATATAAGATCTATGCACGGCACTGATGGGCGTTATTGATAATCGATATTATTTACCTTTGGACCCCATGTCACCCACCCACCAATACCATGACGCACAGCGCACCAGTACGACAGCAGCGTTATTATTTGTTATGACATCCAGGAACTCCCCAGGTTTTTGTAAGTGTCTCTGGTTTAAACATTTTGAAAGTGGATGTTAAGTAAATGTATTAAATGTCCATTCCTCTGCCACTTGGTGTTACTGAAAAAATACATTGCATTTGAACCTTGCACCACTTATATATTTACACTGAATTTACACGACATTTAAAGTGAGTAGTCAAACACTCTTTTGTGAATGTTGTGAAATCTAATCCCAGTAGACGATGTCGACAGAAATCTGAACCAAAATGTTCAGCCATGAGAATTGACCTGGCCTAGAAATGTCTCTCCCTGTGGTCACTAACCTGTGGACAGCTGCACCTTTTGGAGCCACAGTAGCTTTTCACTGTCCGGCCTGTGGCCTACATACTGGAGCCCGGCAACAGAGGTAAGGTTTTGTTACAGTACAACAAAAAGCCGCTGAGGGGGGGCTGTGGCTGGTCGAAATCGAATCCTTTTGTCAGTGTTAAAGCTGAGGGAATGGCTTCGAAACAAGGGTGACCCAAAATGTACAACGACCAAAAGATGACGTCATTTAAGTTGTTCCTGATCGTACGGTTTGGTTTCACAGCTGCTGAGGTCTGGGCTGAGATTGAGAGTGTCCGTGCAGTACAGTTTTTAACCTGCTGAGTGAGCTATTGCAAACCAGCAGGTTCAGATTTCCCTAACTGACCTAGTATCTATTTATTGTTATGCTGAATGGCTAAACGTGCAGAAAGTTAGTGTGATCAACACTGGCAATAGAAATAGATGTAATACATTCTTGTTGCAACCTTTGTTATTTAAAGTTTATTTCCTTTTTTTTTTTTTTTTCCTCATTCACATAGAAAAATTATACACACAATATATCCACGATACATAAGCTTCTGCACTGACCAACTTTTCCATTTCCTCTGCCTCTTCCTGCTGAGAAGGAACTCAACCATGACAGAAAGTCAAAACATTTAACACGCAGAATGTAAATGCAAAGAATGGGTTAGGGCAATGTGCGTGCATTTTTCTGACAAGTGTATTTTCACATGTATGACCACATATAGCATAGACACCTTTAGACTGTACAGGAAATAAAACAATCAAAGAGAAATCCACCCTTCGTCGATAGTGTTTCAGACAATTCCAGCACTAGTCAGTAGAACAGCTGTTGCTTACAAACCAAAATCTAAGAGATAAGAAATAGTGCTGAATAATGATCCGGATGTGATTCATGTGCAGGGTGGATTCATCAACAATTATTCAATTATTTGTTTGGATCATAAATACCCAAGTCCTCCACCACCAGTCCATAACTCAGGACGGGAGAAGAATATGATGAAGCACTGTAGGCACAGCAGGCTTTTCATACTTACATTATATACACTTCCTTAAACCTTCTGTTTGACTTTGGATAATAAAGACTTACCAAGGAGTTCCGCCTTGATGATAAAAAAAACAAAAACAAACACCCCTTTTCTTCTAGCAGACCAATTGTTCTATAAAAAAAACATTTTTAAGTTATTAACTTCCAAAGCACAAAGTTAATCCCAACTGATTATGTGGACTAGTAATAATAGTAATAATACGAAGCTCAGAGGATGCTCAGCACTGTAAACCCTACACCAGAGTTCTCTCCGTCCTTTATGGAGTGAGCAAACTTAGTTGAATGCATCAGTGACAGTTCACCTTAGCTCCTCAGAGCTGCCAATCTGGACTGCATCTCTTCAATGTCCTCCTCGGATTCTTCATCGGAGGCCGCAGTGGCTCCTTCAGGCTCCATTACTGGCAGGGCATCAACGACTTTGCTTGGTGCTTTGCCAAGGGCACCTAACACAGCAAATACAAATATGACACAGCTTTCAGTGTTATTAATCTGCAGTTTAATTCCATCTGTTGTTCAGATGATTGATACCAAAACACTTTATTGTACAACAGGGAAACAAATATGTACTGTTTAAACTAAAAATGTTACCTGCTGTGATCTCAAAGAGGATCTTGTCAACTTCTGCCTCTGCTTCCTCCTCCATCTCCTCCCCATCCTCCATGCTCTCAAATGTGTCTTCCAGCATTTCCTCAATGATTCCAGCCTGAAATATCAACATGAGCAACATTTAGCAACTTCTTCTATTGTAAGACAGAAAGTTTTGCCCGTGATCTGAGTCAGCTGCAGAGTTAAACGTCTTGTTGTAACTTGACTGTAAACATGATCTATGTATGTTGGATGCTGCTGCCGACCTTCATCATCTCCTTTGACAGCTCCCTCATTGTGGCCTGGATCTCTGGGACTTTGACGAGACTCTGCATTGCTTTCATGACCTCTGTGCTCTTCTGCAGGGCCCCAGCTACACGCAGTACAGCTAGAAATGCACAAATACACTTTCTTCACCGGCAGACATGAACGAGTTGATAAAACCACAAACCATTCTACTGATGACAACGCCGACTAAAAGATGACAAACAGCTGCTGTACTCGGAAACTCACCGAGCTGATTCTTCATACTGAGCATCACAGAGTTCATGTGGGCTTTGGAAGCGTAAAGTTTCGTGACAGCACGTTTCGACTGGATCATCTCCTTTGCGAGAATCACACACACATCCTTCTGCCCCTTCTTGGCAGCATCTTTGATAGATCTTTTTACTTTTTCTTCCTCCCTTTGAATATCTGAAAGAAAAGAGGTTGTCAGTGCAAACAAGACAAAAACTGATGATAATGATTAAGTCATTGACTGCAGGGAGTAAGTATTCATTCATTTGTTCATTACTCAGCAAGTCCAATTATGACTCAAGACTTCATGTATAAAAAGTGATTCATACTTTTCATTAAACAATACTGACTTTAACATCTTTGTGATTCAATAAAGTGCCCCCCCTTCTTCAAGCTTATAACAATTACAATCAATTATTTATGTAATTCATGTTATTGCTTCAAGACAATTAATTGACACTGAGTCAAAGTAGATCTATCAATGACTGAGACAATATCTATATTTATATGTATTGCTGTTCTGTGGTGGTGGCATGATATATTGACTGTATCTTACCTCGAATCTGTCTGTCGATCACTCTCATTTCCTTCCTGATTTTCTGACACCATTCAGTGATCTGAAATGACACAGTGTTGCTACAGGTTGTATTAACGTGACGCCAACAGATACAGTACGTTTGTAATGATCATGTCAACACAAGTTGTAACACGACAATAAAACGACAATGAAGATGATCACAGCCAAAGTGCAACACGGCACGATGCCGGCTGGACCGAGACAAATCAGGGTTTGTTTACACTGGCTGACAGTAGACTTGTGCTAGCTTACATGCTAACTAGCCAGCTCTCAACACACACACCAAAATAACACAAACACCTCGGATGATGGCGGCTATAAATAAGCATATAACCTTAAATACATTAGTGGTGATGTAACTAAGCGTGTCAGGGATTGTTGGGTCATTTCGAACGAGCACATCGTCTCACATTCAATCAGCGAAAGTAGCAACAGTTTGAAATAAGCTGACTTAAAGTGACAGCTAACGCTAGCGAGGCTAGCTGAGGGTAATCGCTTCTTCCCTCTCGAAGGAGGACACCCTGAAAGACAGCGGAGGTCCTCAGCTGTCAGCACTCACCAGCTCTTTGGGTGGTTTCTCAGATGTTCTGCCGAACAGTCCCATGGTGGCGGCAGGGTTCAATACCGAGCTAAGCTACCTGACTAAAACTAGCTGGTTAGCTCAGTTTGTGAGACTGGCACTTCCTGTTCTCTGGCCCGTGAGGCTGCGTCCCAACATGAAAAAACAGCATCCTCAGCGAGGAAACAAGTGTTCAAGTGAGGGTCTGTGCTGAAACTGGCAATAGAAAGTAGTAATGGCATTGATAATCGGATTAAATAATATGGGAGTAATATTGAAAATAATATGAAGCTAAACACATATTATTGCACATGGTGTGTGTATTCCTCACACGAATGTGGCTCCGGAGATGGAAATCAGAGGACAGTAAAAAACATGGTGTATATTAAATGTCAGTGCTTCCAGACACTTGGATGACACCACAGGAGCAGTATGAAGGCACCATGTTGTTTTTGATGTTTGAAGAAGTGGTCACCATTTACTTCGAGTAGATCATGAGTGAATTTCATTTCGGGTGAACTATCCCTTTAAACTGGGGGCAACGTGCCTGTATTATCTGTGACGTATTACCCTTTCAGAGGCGGCGGCGGGGGGGAGGGGGGTTCTAGATTCTTCTGTCATCGGTTGGCTGCCGCACCAATCACGTAAGGGCGATGGGTGCGATGTAGCCAATCAGATGCGCTCGGGGGCGGGCTCCGGGAGCATCAGTGTGGTGGAGCCGCTGGGTGACGTAGAGGCCGATGAGCAGAGGGAGAATCCGCCCTGCGCATCACCGCCGCCCGGGAGCGTCTTTCTACGAGTTGGCTATAAACAGCCGCACTTACATAACAGCGAGTAATTCAGTCAGCGCACTCTCCGCTAGCTGCCGCGTATTTATTTCCCAAAAAGCAGAGGAGGAGCAGACGGACACATTAACTATACATATATACATTTGTTCTCATAGGTGCCAGGTGCGGTCGTTGCGTGGCGTAACTTGGAAGAGGTGAATCCAAAGAGCGCTCGACATGTCAGTGGTCGGCATCGATGTGGGTTTCCAGAACTGTTACATCGCCGTGGCCCGGAGCGGCGGCATCGAAACCATCGCCAACGA